TCAATACCATATAGATAGAGCGTAATATAGTTTTTCGTTTTACCTCAGAAAACCACAACAGTCTGTTTCATCCGTATAGGAATCATCAGGTGGTCTATGATTCCTATACGGATGAAACAGACTGTTGTGGTTTTCTGAGGTAAAACGAAAAACTATATATATATATATATATACCTTGACTTCTCATGAAACTTGATATACATCTCAGGTATTATATTCTTCTTCATATCCTAGATGAATTTCCAATTTATATAACTTACCAAGTAATGCTTTCACAGATGTAGACGCATCAGTCACCAGCTCAACCACATTAATTTCTTCTGTAAGTCGATCTAGACTTTGTTGGACTGCCTCTTTTTCCATATCTGTGGAAATTAAACCAACATGTCTCTTATCAAGATTTCAATGTCAAGAATACAATTTGAATTTACCTCTACCATGAAGTAGCAAAGATTCTTGGCATTGAAACCTGGTGAGTCACATTGGCCATCACCACCAATTACGACAGAAATTGCAGATTCAAAAACTTTGCCATGCGTTCTATTTTTGCCTAATTACTTCCAGATAATATCAGCGAAGCAGCTGCTTGGAGATCATTGGCATAAATGTAAGGACTTGATTTGATGAACAAAATCTATAATTATGCCCTGAAGAACATACACAGTTCACAATTAGTGTAGCACCTACAAAGTGATCTCTGATGTTGGGTAAGGCGGTACACCCACTTGTCCGGCATTTAGATTGAAATACTCCAAGCAGTAAATTAAGAGAGCAGACAAATTTCATTTCTTGCACCATGCTGTACTCTTCTTTCATTGTGTATATCTCGCACCCTCTGCTAAACTTCTGATGAGGTCCAGAAGTAAACAGAGGAGTGCTGGGTGACTGTTTTGCGTCATTTATATCTGTTGCTCAACATACTTTACATTGGCGTGTGGTGATTCATCACCATCCCACTTTTGTTCATCATCAGAAATTGTGAAAATATCGTGTTCATCACATGTCTCATCAGAGTCGTCATCACTACTATCTCTCATAGAGCTACAATTCATAGAGCTACAATTTTACTTTACAATTTATTCACAAATTCATTGAGATTACCTTGAGCAACATTCACATTTTGCGTGCCAGTATCACTCTAATCCTTTGCACGAGGCGTCCTTGCATTCCTTCGGCTCAACTTTTGCCGATCCGATTTATCAATGTCTGACCTAAAATAGTTAAAGAATTCGAACTTGAATACGTTTATGCCAATGCGTTACATATTCAGTCGAGTTGGAACATATAAACCACATTAATCATACCTTCTTCGATACTCTAAAGAGAGCAGATGCTCTGTGAAATTGTTATCGCTACATGCTTTATATCCAGCTTCGATTTTAGCATCATTCCATGTTTTAAATATGTTGATGGATAAATATATTTTCTTATGCCCTTTATCCCGAGCTTTTTTTTCTTTCATTTCCGCTATAGTACTTTCTTTTTCGCCCAGAACTTTCCTGTTTGCCTCCATGCGTGCCACCTGTAATAATAGTTAAGTTTTAGGTTACCTGTACATGTGAATAATTAGCAATGTAAATATAAGGCAGAAGGCTGCTCGCCTTCTGGTTGTTGTTTGTACACAATTTATTACATGGTGGCAGTTAATCCAAAAATATCTAAGCCATCCTAGGCTACACAAAAATCTGATGTTCTGAAGCAAAGATGAGTCAAATAAAACCACCTGACCCACTCGATTTTACAAAAGCTGATACTTGCTGGCCAGATTGGAAGCGACGTTTTGAGAGATATCGAATAGCAAAAAAACTGTTTAAAGAAGATGAGGACATTCAAATTAGCACACTTCTATACACTATGGGGAATGAAAGCAGCAAGTACGTGTTTACACAGTTTGCTTTGAACGAAAAAGAAGCGAAAGATTACGCATTCGTACTCAATAAATTCGATGGACATTTCAGACCAGAGAGAAATATTATTCACAAACGAGCTATGCTTCATGAAAGATCTCAACAAAGTGGCGAATCAGCTGAAACTTACATACGAAGCCTTTACGAGATGGCCTAATATTGCGATTTTGGCACAGCGAAAGACGATTGTATTCGTGATAGACTCGTAATCGGAGTTAGTGATAAAGGTTTGTCAAAGCGCCTGCAGTTGAAAGAAAAACTGACACTTGCCGAAAGTGTAAAGATGGTGAGACAATCCGAAATTATACAGGACCAACTTTTCAGAAAGACCAACTTTCAATACAAAATGAAACAGCGAAATCTATAGAAGAAATTAATAAACAGAGATATCCAAAGCGAGACAATCATACCCACAAGGAAAGCTTCAAGCGAGGATGTTCTCGGTGTGGGTTAAGTTATGGATCCTCGTACCATGCTAAGAACGCCAAATGTAATAAATGCAACAAGATTGGTCACTACGCGAGATGTTGCAAAACGAAGCAGTTAACCGAAGTTAGTTGCAGATATACGCAGGGGAACAAAAGCTCCGAGGAAGAGTTTTTCATTGGAACGATAACTGACAACAAAGACGACCCAAGAAGATGGCTCGTTGATCTGCCAATTAATGGTCATAACATGAAGTTCAAGATAGATTCTGGTGCTGATGTATCGGTAATGTCGCTGAGTTCTTATGAGAATATGTATGACGCTCCAGCTTTGCGGCCAACGAGTCACAGACTCAAAGGAGTCAACGGAGTATTAAAGTGTAAAGGAACGTTTTCATCTAACACTGAGTATCAAGGAAAAGTATACATGTTTGACATATATGTTACTGATTCTGAGAACAATTTACTTAGCAGAACTATGGCAGAGAAGATGAACTTGATTAAACTGAACATTCAAGAAGTTCAAGGAGGAAAACAAATAGGATTAATGAAGGGCGAGCCCGTTAAAATACAACTGAGAGAAGGAGCTATGCCATTCCATTGTAATACCGCCCGAAGAGTCCCAATACCTCTCATGCCAAAAGTAAAGCAAGAATTAAAACAGATGGAAGAAGCTGGTGTTATTGAGAAAGTCACTGAGCCCACTGATTGGTGCTCTCTGATGGTAGTGGTTCCAAAACAAAACGGTGATGTAAGGATCTGTGTGGATCTTCGACGGCTGAACAGTGAAGTTTGACGTGAAAGATATGTGTTGCCAACGTTAGAGGACATGGTGACAAAATTAAATGGTGCCACAGTCTTCACCCACCTTGACCTTACTTCGGGATATTACCACATCGAGTTGCACCCAGACAGTACCAAGTTAACGACGTTCATCACACCGTATGGGAGATACTGCTTTAAGCATCTTCCGTTTGGAATTTCCTCAGCAAGTGAGATCTTTCAGCGCCAGATGACAGAAACGTTGGAAGGCGTTGAAGGAGTTGAAGCCTCTCAAGATGACATTCTGGTTGCTGGTCGTACCATGGATGAACACGACGAGAAGTTGAGGAAGGTCCTTGACGTTATTCAAGAGGCTGGTCTTAAGCTGAACCTGAAGATGTGTGTGTGGCGGAAACCCGCAGTTACCTTCTTGGGACACAAGTTCAGCAAAGACAGTGTGCGCCCTGATGCAGACAAGGTGAAAGCTATTGTTGAAATGTCTGCAACTACCAGCGTCCATGAACTACAACAGATCCCGGGAATGATCAATTATATTGGGATGTTCATTCCGAATTTGGCAACAATAATGAAGCCAATGAACAACCTTTTGAAGAAAGATGTCCAGTGGTTGTGGGGACCAGCGCAAGAGAAGTCGTTCGCCGATGTCAAACAAGCCCTTGTAAATGCAATGACATTAACATTTTATGATCCTCAAAAGCCTACCACTGTATCTGCCGATGCTACTAGTTTTGGTTTTGCAGCTGTTATCTTGCAAGAAGAGAACAATCAATTGAAGCCAATTGCTTTCGCATCCTGTACACTCCTGCCTGCTGAGGGTCTGTATGCCCAGATCGAAAAGGAGTGCTTAGCTTCCGTTTGGGCGTGTGAGAAATTTGATAGATACCTTCGAGGTCTACAACAGTTCAAGCTGCTCGCTGATCATAAGCCGCTGGTACCATTGATCAATGGATCCGACCTAAATTCCGTCCCGATAAGATGTCAACGATTGCTTATGAGAATGATGAGATATAACCCGAAAGCACAGCATGTACCCGGGAAGGAGCTGGTCGTCGCTGATACCCTCTCGAGGCATGCGTTGCCTATGTGTGACGAAGAAGATAAGCGAACAGTAGAAGAAGTTAGAATGTACGTTAACGAAGTCACACAATCTTGGCCCATATCGGACGTTCGTCTTGATGAGATCAGAGAGGCAGCTGTAAAGATTTGGTGATACAAGAAGCCATGAAATTCACAGTTGAAGGTTGGCCAACAAAATCTAGTAATCTCCCACGTGATCTCCATGATCTGTATTCCGTTCGATCGAATCTTTCGGTGGCAGAAGGACTCTTGGTGTATAATGGGAGAATTGTCATTCCGAACGTCTTGCAGTCAAAGATTTTGGAAATAATTCATCATGGTCATCAGGGAATCACCAAGTGCAACAAAAGAGCCGAAGAAGCCGTTTGGTGGTTTGGTATCGGAAAAGATATCAAGGGTATAGTTGGTCGATGTGAAGAGTGTCAAGTGAAAAAAGCAGCTCTAAGATGAGAACCATTAACCTCCTCACCACTACCGGAAAGACCATGGAACCGTATGGGTGTTGACATCCTGGATTTCAAAGGAAAAATATTTCTTGTGGCAATGGATTACAACTCCAGTTACCTAGAAATCATGGACTTGTCCAATGCAACCTCATCTCTCGTGATAGCCAAGTTTAAAAGTATCTTTGCCAGATGGGGAATTCCGCTACAGGTTGTTAGCGTTAACGGACCGCAGTTTTCATCCGAGAGTTTCACGAAGTTCGTGAAGAGTTATGGATTCAAGCATACTACCTCGAGTCCATATTACCCACAATCAAATGGGTTGGCCGAGAGTGCGGTGAAAATAGCTAAGAACATATTACGACAAGAAGACCCGTGTCTTGCTTTGACGGTGTACAGATCTACAACTGTAGGATCTATTGGTCATAGCCCGTCAGAAGTCATGTTGAATCGTCGAATCAGAACCACTCTACCAACGTTATCACAGAATAACAAACCTTGTATGCAGGACGGTGACAAGGTGAAACAGAAACACGAAGCTAGCCAAAAGAGCAATGAATTTTACTACAACAGACTGTATTCATCCAGGTCGTTGCCAGTTTTGAAAAAGGGAGATCAAGTTCGAATCAAGACCGAAAAGGACGACGTGTGGGGGAAAACCGGCCGTCGTAGTTGGAACAGCCAACACACCTCGATCGTATGATGTGCAAACAGAAACTGGTGTTTTACGAAGGAACAGAAGACACCTTCTACGTATCCAAAGAGACGAAAGAGAAAAGCGTGAAATACTTCGAAGCGCACATAAAGCAATAAAAGAGAACAACTGTAACCCAGACCACAAAAGCCCTGTCAAAACGATTCCTGCAGAGCCAATACAGAACCCGGACAACGAAAGCCCTGTCGTAATGATGCCTGCAAATCCAACATGGAATCAGATTACTGGTAGAGCCGAAGGAATTTGAACAAGATCTGGAAGGCTAAGTATTCCTCCAGACAGATTAAATCTTTCAAACATTGAAACTTTAAGACATTTAAATGTTAGAACGTTTATATTAAGAACTTTTGAAAATCTAAATTTGGAAAAAAACCTGAGGATTAAGAAGAAAAATGAAAAAAAACAAAACATTAAAATAAGTAGTTACAATTGACTAAGATTTAATTTGAACTAGTAATTTATGAGACTTAAAGTTTTATCTCCAAAAGGGGGAGATGTAATAGTGGTTGAGTTTTGGGTTACCTGTACATGTGAATAATTAGCACATGTAAATATAAGGCAGAAGGCTGCTCACCATCTGGTTGTTGTTTGTACAATTCATTACACCCCCAGATGTGAACGCCATCTTGGATACACTAAACTTGAAAACATCGTCCGACGTTTTCAAGTTTTATGTACAGAAAGGATGCGCATGTGATGGCACTGCTCCTTTAAGTAAATAATTTTTCTTATATTTTTTGAATTTTCCCCCATAATTTTGGTAATTTGTTTTTTAATTTCACATGTTGTTTAACTCATTGTCAACCCATTGTCGACTTTGGAGAGGAGAAAATTTACAATATCTCGGAAAGTATTTACCCCCCTTTTAAAACGATAACCACCATTGAAATCCTCATAAAATAACCTTTCAAACTTTTACAAGATATAGGTATATAAACTACAAGTAGAAATAGTTAAATTATAGTAATAAATTGTATGTTCAACAGATGACAGAATAAAGGAGTTTTTAAAACATGTTTTTAAAGTTTTCGTATCTACCTTTGTTGTTTTTAAAATATGTAACATATAGAGATGTCTCAAAATTTTTTATCATTTGATGATCACATATATTGAGGTCCCTGCTAAGCATTAGGCCCATTTATATGAGCGAACAATAGGCCGCAAAGGACTCATATAAACCACAGTCAATTTATTGCCAAGATCCACATGCCAACGGTTATATAGCTATGGCTTATTGTAAATTGCCTGTTTATTACAAGTTGTTCGCGACTTATTTCTGAGCCACAGCTTATAATATCTTGTTAATCTCTTTACATCATAATATCTTCTTTATCTAATTACCTATTTTGCTATTAACATATACAGTATATACAAATTATTTGGTCTTCTCTCTCATTAAATCCCTTCAAAAATCTACATTAAAATTCACTGTATATTTTCTTAACATCACAAAGAAATTCTACAAATAAATCTTTACCCTTGTTTTCATATCGCCACAAAAACTCAGCTAAATGTGATGAAAACCCAATCTTTCGCACGCCAAAAACACGGAAGTTTGCACTTTGCTTGTCGCCAATGTCCTTCAATTTTGTTTGTGTGGAATCCCTCATTCACAGATTCTTTTGAGTGATTAACCAATCGATGCTTGTATCCATGTTTGTCTAAATTTATATATGCTTTCCAACAGTCTTACACAACTGTTGTTCCCTTTGCAATGTGTCTTTGTATCAAAGGCAACAATGTTGCTTCATCGCACTTGTCTACTGCTGCCATGAAACTCTATCACAAATCCTCTTCAATTCCGCCGAAAACCCACTGTCCCTCAACATGATGCCCTCTGTGGTATTTTCTTTTCCCAAATCTACTTTCATCCATTTGAACAACTTTACCCTTTTCCTTGTGCTCTAAAAGTGTCACTTCACACGTTTCGCGACAGAAACTGTCCCAATCTACTGCAGGAAGCGATGTTTAAGCTTGTGACATATCTGCTCTTGTTTGACATCACAACAACACCAATATGTAAACTTCCGGACTTTCTCTAATGTCATATTGCTCTTCTCAAACCAACTACTATAATGTTATACTTGCTTCCTATTATTTCGTCTTTTAACCTGTCGTATGTCCATTTTCCCACCTTTTCGCTTCAACCGTAGCTGCTCTTTTCCCTCCCACACTGCAATTCAGCCTCTTTTAAATCATAATAAGACAGTGCAGTTTGTGAACTACTGTTTTTTTTTAATAATTCTTTTTGCTGACTTAACGCACACTTGCACGCTCTTTTCCATATTTATGGTTAACTCATTAATGCGCCCGAATGCGCCCTGAGATTGGCAAGGGGGTAAACGGCAATGCGCCCTAACATGACCCCGGGCATGATATTTGAGCACGTGTTTATTGGGTTGCCTAGCAACGGATACGAAAATAGAACG